GATAGAATTAGAGCATGTTTTATAGAAGGTAATAGCTCATATGATTGGTTGAAGGGNTTTGCGCCGACGCATCATATGTACTAACGAACTCGGATATCACGTTCGCCCAGTGTACCATTGGTCGAGCTTCCTGAATGGCGATTGGATGACATGAAAATGGACCTAGGCGTGCATGGATTGCGGTCACGGAAGTCTGGATCACCACAGTAATTTACTCACTAGGCTACTAAGGGCCTAGACTGAACCCACTCATGCCATGGAGGATTCATTTCAACATTCACGTCTGATCATAGTGACTAATTTATCGACCCATCTTGACGTGATTCGCTTCCTTACTCGGTAGACCGAGGTAAATTACCGCCGGGTTCGTTCATTCGCGTCTATGACGCACGCTCGAACAACGGTGGGTCGTGGGAGGAGAATGAACAGCCACCACACCCCACCCCACGGAAACTTTCATCCTCACTAGTTAACTCACTCAAAAAGCACTGTTGTTTGTTTTTGGAGAGGTTAGTTCATTCGAACTGGCAGGGGTCTAAACAGACCCGGTTCAGCCGGTGACGTTTGACGGCCGAAACATCAGTCATCTTTTCGGGTTCGCAATGCTATTTGCTGGATTCACTTTTAGTTACAACGGATTCACATGATGTTGAAAAGGTAAAGACGAAAAATTCCTGCTCAAAAGAATTAAAAATTAAATATGCATACGATCATTCTATAAGTAACAACACTGACGTATTTCGAAAACGTTTTTTATCAGTACAATATTTGATGGATTATCTGAAAAATGTCATTATTCATGAACTGATTAAAGGCGATACAGTATTTTTAACCGAAAACGTACAACTGGTACTTACTATTCAGGAGTTAAATGCTTCCCTGGCGTAAAAACTTTAGTTATCCTCATGGAATTAGAAACACGAATTCAAATTGGAGTGTGTTGTCGCGTCTCTTCTGAGGTCTCCTGAGCACTTGGACACACGGTGTTCGGGCATTGCACAAACGTCATCAGTCGTGCCGTAACTGTGTCCGGGACAATTTGATCTGTTTCGGTAGACTGAATAGATTGCGACGTGCGTAGTCGTCGGCTTCGACCGACTCGAGTCATTCCTCGAGGAAATATGGATTTATCTCGATGCATCAGTAGTGTCAATTTGGAAGAAGATTGGTCGGCCAGATCACCGTTATTGAGAGTTCGCCGATATTTCAGGTGACCTTGGCGTGACTGTTTGAAAGTTAAATGAGCGATTATGCACCATGGAGGACCAAAGAATAGGATACGAAAATGGCGCTTGCATGAATGGCATTCAGGATTTCAGAAAAGCCTAATCAGATTACTTCAGTTCAGTAAATAAGTGAAATCACTTCAGTTTTCGCAACCATTAACCATGAACTTTGGTGCGTCGGTTTTGGGTACTGTCTTAAGACTGTCCACTGGGATAAGAGATCAGAATGAAATATTGGCATGTCGAGTCAAATAGAAGATAGAGAACTCAAATAGACCAAGGTTGCAAGGGTAATGAGTAGATGCATGGGTGACACTGATGGTGACGGCCATATATCTCAGTGCCTCTAACCACCAGTTACCATGATGTCAGGGTCAGCCAACAATGGCCCATACGCTCTCTTTGCCTTCTCTTCATTTGACATTCCGTATGAAACAGTGAAACTGGATTGCTGATGAACGAGCGAAACTCCAATATGGTACTTCCTGCGTGTACAGTTTACTGGATGAAATGAGACTTGGGCGTAAAAATGAAGTTTGAAAAATGAGGCCCATAAAACCAAAATTTTATTTTCATAAGTAGAATGGGCTCATTGGAGCAATTATCCCATCTGCTGAGAAGTAATTTTTGAATGCATGTCAATTTTCTAACGAAAAAATGAAATGTGTTCTTTCAAGTGTTTTAGGAAGAGGTTCCAGGATAATCAATAGGTATGTATCAGGATTTAAATCCATCTACATTATTTGAAGAAAAGCAGGATAAATGGACCTATGCAAAAACCGAGATTGAATTCACAACAACCACAAGTTTGATTAGTCATCAGTTTCGTGCATGGTAGACACACGCGGTCAAAAAGAGCAGTGTTTGCTTACTTGTCGCTGATGTACGCGCATGTGCCGAGTGATCATGTCTCGACGGCAGGCGGAATATGTGCATTGTTCACAACTGTATGGTCGTTGTCCAGTATGTGTCCGTCGGTGTGTGGATAAATGATCTGATCGACTAAATTTCTGGTCACAGACTTCACACACAAACGGTCTGTCCCCAGTGTGCACGTGTTTGTGTCGAACCAACATATCTGACCGGGTGAATTTGCGCGAACAATGAGGACACACATGTTCACCCGTAGATAAAATTGACTTGGTCCGGGAACCGTAGCTGCTACCGGCCGTAACGACAGGTTGATTTACTTCAATTGGGCTACCAGAGAATGAAGTCGGTGATGTATCATTTTGTCCACTGTTTATTTCGTTGTTCACATCCGCCTTGATTGAATCAGTTCCGTCTGAACTATCCCGCGCAGTGGGTGTTAGTTGTAATGGTAAATTCTCAACAGACGATCCATTTGCAATCAGGATATCGTTCTCCGATCCGCTATCAACTCGGGATTGTAGAGTTGGCCTGAAGATAGACAGCGCTTCATGGCTGGGGAAGAAGTGCATTGATGGACCAATACCCATCTGAAGAGAGCTATTCGCTTCGACATAATGATTACTGTTCGTTCCAGTATTGCTCCCAACGGTGACGGTATTACTACCATTGTCTATACTTTGATCCATGTAAACAGTTACTGAAGAAACATTCCCTTGACTTTGCTTATCCGATCGTTTGTTCACCGTTAGATCATATGGGCACGCCGCCGTATTCTGTGCGGCGAATCGAGCTGTCAGTAATACATGGGGAGGGATCACATAACAGCATGTTTTATTAACATCCCGATAATCACGTTCACATAGGAGAGAATGATTTTCGTTGGCAGATTTCAATGCATGCAAACACTTTCATGCCCGAAATCGATTGAAGGGCCATACTTTTACCAAGGGGAGACCACAGTCTGCATGTTCATCCCAACAAATTTCCGTCTCGACCTTGTACTCGTTCCACATTCAGGCTACGCTCTGCATTTAAGATCGCATGCCGAAAGGGCGTCATCGGTTATCTTGTCCTTATCTTAGTAAACTGGAAAACTGTCAGTATGAGCCTGAAAAATAAACTATCGCAATGTACATTATTGCAAACAATTGCATTTCACTTATTAATTTTATGTACAGGTTTTCTTCAGTTTAACTCGTCGAAGTGCTGGGTGCATACGTTTCGTTTGACATTACTTAAATGGTGAGAAGATGGAAATGTCTTTAGTTGTTGGTAAGTGATACCTAATATGTCGTTTAGTCGATTGTTATTCGATATCAATATTCATGAAAATAAACTGTCCCTCTTTGAAGAAAAAGTTTTGGAATCCTTTGTGACTGTTGTCTATAAACATTCCCGTCAACTAAACTATTATATCCTCAAATTAATTCGCCGTAACATCACGTTAATTCGCAACAACTTCAAGTGAATCTCCCTTGAGTCATCAAGTGAATTAAACCAATCGCATTCTACTGGGAACATCACAAAGTTCGTCACATGCCACCGATTGGACCGCGTCCATCAAAAACTCATTCAGTCGGAAGTAACTGATTCCGTCATAGACAAACAAAGGAAATTTTGGTGAGGTTCTGAACGAGGATGTAACTTTCGATGGAGCGAGGTTTGTTTATTCGTCCTTCTGTCCCACCTGGGAGCGTTATGCTCTTGACCACTGATCGAGTGAACCTAAAACGGGAACGAAGGAACCCGATGGTAAGTGACCGTGGTCCGTCGGATAAGCAAACGCATCACGCCAAGATGAGTCGACAAATCAGTCACCATGCTGAGACGTGAATGGTGGACTGAATCATGCATGGTGTGAGTGGGTTCAGTCTAGACCCTTAGTAGCCTAGTGAGTAAATTCCATTGAAGCCGAGGTTCCCTTGAATAACACTGATTACTTTGAACCACACGCAATTGCCGACACATTTATGGCGTTAAAACAGAAACTTATTAATATATGTATGTAAAGTTGTCTATGATACTAATAAAACATGTGTATTCAGACTGTGAAACGGTGTGATGAGAACGAGAAATGTTGCAACAAGGATAATAAACCATATGACAAAGCTGAGAAACAAAGGGAGAAGATGAATTCGTCAGGCTGGTGCCATGTGCATCGTGGATAGAATGTACTTCACCATCCGGGAATTACACAGTGAAATGTAAGTTATAGAAGCCAGTGAATGAGTATGAATCTCGTCTTTATACTGAGGTAAATATTGTTAATTTTTCTACAGTATCCATGTTGCACTGCTGAGTATCGTGTCAAGCGTTCCTTTTAATAGCAGAAATGTGCTGGTAATTGAGTTTGGTTCAAATTAATCAGCGTTATTCGAGGGAACCTCAGCCTCAACAGAATTGGGGGCCTAGAAAGATCCACTCGTGCAGTGCACGATTCATTCCAACATTCACGTCTGAGCATGATCACCGATTTATCGACCCATCATGACGTGATTCGCTTCCTTATTCGGTCGACCGAGGTCAATTACCACCGAGTTTCTTCATTCTCGTCTTAGGCTCACTCGGTCAACGGTCGAGGATATAACGTTTCCAGGTGGGCCGGGAGGACGAACAATCATACCCCAGTCCACCGAAACGTCCATCCTCGTTTGTTTATCTATGGTAAAGTTAATCCCGACTGGACGGGATTTTGGTAGACCGGGTTCAATCGGTGTCGTGTAACGAACGAAGCAACAACCACTTTTTGGTGTTCCCAGTAGAATGCGATCTCTGAGATTCACTTGAATTTCCAACGGTTTAATTTAAAGTCATATAGGTATAGTCTTACATCAGAAACATATATGGGATACGCTTAGATAACTGAATAGCAAAGGCTGCTATAATGCTTGTTTTTAGTCTTCCATCGATATGCTACTCATGAGTAGATATAATTTAATTCGAATATCGGATAAAAGCTAAATCCTTTCAATAAATTCGATCGAACAACAGCATCAAACAGAAGTGCAAAATTCAAATCTTACCAATTTTCTCCTTCAAAGTAAATTGTTACAAATGGTATACCATGATTCAACTCACAAAATGAATCTACAACTTTGACCGAATTAGTGCAGGAGGCAATTGGATTTTCGTTAGTAATTTTGGACTTTTCAACCCAAAGTTGCCGATTCAATGCAGCCGCTGCCGCCACGACTGCTGCCATCCTCTCCGATGCCGTCAAATTTTGGCACACCTTATAGTTGGAACGGAAGTGGATGTTCATCATAGCAGTTTCCGTGGGTGAGACTGCTCCGAGGATCGAGCTGGAAATGGTTGTCAATGTCTGTGGGCTATGGGCTTCTTTGTGATTCACCACATCGGCGTCATCAGAGTTCATTCCAATGGCAATACTACTATTGCTACTGTTTGCGCTGTCTTCCTTAGTATCATCCAATCGAGGTTGTGTGATAGTTAGATCCGTTGGTTCTGTGTTTGGCGAAGCAGGATTGCTCACATGCGAAATGGGAATTGCGGTGCATCTCGTATTTTCTCTCATCTGCATACCCAACGCTTGAGATAAGCCAGAACAGGTACTGAAAGATAAAGGCTCACGTGTAATGGAGTCCAGCTGATTGAAAGCAGACTGTAATGGAGTCGGAATGCTGCGAACCTTGAGTACACTTTCCCTGATGCAATCTGTTTCTGGAAGCAAAACCTGAAATCAATTTTAAAGAAAATCGGGGGTTATAAAGAAGCATGCCTCACAGAGGGAAAAGATTTTTACTGGATAAATTTAATCAGTGCGTGTACTAGTTCCAAAAGCATACTGCAATTATTATGACGAGTGAATTCTCACAATCCGGGAAAATGAACACGAGTTCTATGAAACATATTGATCTGAATCCAGAGTTATTTACTGAATTGCACACACTTATATCAATCACTTACACCGTACGACTGACTTATATTTATTTTCAGTAATTAGTGGTAATTGAAATATATGGTTTAATGTCCAACTAGAGAATTATAAACTGAACTTATACCATTGTAATTGAAGCAGCCTGGATGGAATAAAACAAGTGATGTCGTCAGGCCATTTCTCTGCCATGTAGATTTAACCCATGAGCTATAGCATTTATATTAAACTTCAAATGAGAATTTGTCGCACTAGTCTCCGGGGTTATGACTCGGTTGGAAACACTCACAACCTGACTGATTATTTCATGTGCGTAATGGAGGATTTGGTTAAGTTTCAAATGAGAATTCGTCGTGTATATAGCAAATGAAGCGTGAAGTGAAAAGCTCGGAAGCACTGGA